GTCTCTCATCAGATCCTCAGCCTCTGCTCACTGCTCACTGTGGTCAGAGACCTTCATCTTAATGCACATAAAAGAAAAAACTGGAAAGGACCCCAGAGGAAGGAGATGCTGGAATAAATTCCTGAAAAGGAGGCAGGGATGGGGAGTGAATCCTTATAATTAATTTTTGTCCATTATCATCTGTTTCTGGAATGTGACACTGCCCTGAAGCTGAACCGTGGGACCACAGTCTCAGGGGGTCATTGAGCACAGGAAGGTTCTCTGCGCCTTTCCTTTAAAATTGCCCCACACTTGCTTGCCCTGCTTGTCAGTGAGAGTTTGCAACTGCCAATAACACCAGTCCTGGTGGCAGAATGGTAAGGACTTTCATCTTCATTCATCTAGAGCCAAAGCCAGGCACTGATCTGGGCATCAGAGATGAAACTGTGAACAAAACAAAGATGTTGTTTTCATGGGGCTCCCCAGAGAGAAAAGCACATACTCTCTAATGGGACAAGAATTAGGCTGACGTCAGAATTCTCAATAGGATGCAGAAAGACACAAGGGTATGTTTCCCAGTATTGAAAGAAAGGAATTTTGGCCCAAGAATTTTGTATCCAGCTAAGCAATTTTTAAATGAGGGAATGAATTGAAAATAGTATCAAGGCCCTCAGAAGACTTCCCATACAGAGACTTGCTTTGAAGATACTGCTGAAACATAGCCAGACAATGTTTTGTGGTGAGGGCACTAAAATAAGTTACTGGAGTTCATTGCTGTCTAAATACATAATGACAGAAAAGTAAAAAGAATAAACTATAACCCAAACTCTAGATGATAGTACAAACAGCAGACATAACAAGACCAGAGCTAGTGAAACATACCTGGGTACATGTTTCTTTGGGAGACAGCAAATAGGTTTTAATAATTTAAGAGAGTTGAATGGGAGGGAAGTTTAGGTATTAACATGTGAGAGAGAAACTCCAGAAGAATAAAAATAGAATGTACAACTTTTCCAGGCAGCAGAAGAAAATGTGTTCTGTCCAAAGAAAGGAAGAGTAAAAAGGAAACAGGATGGAAATATGAAATAGAAAGCACAGAATTAAAATGGAATAAATAGTCCTAATGCCCTGGCGATCAGGATTTACATAAATGAGTTAAGTTCATCAATAAAAAATGATCAAATTGGATTTTTAAAATAGTCTAGCATTATGTTTTTTATGAGAAGCTTTTAAAGCATAAAGATATGAAAGGTTAAAAAAAAAAAAGATGAAAAAGATATAGTAAGCAATTAGGAACCACAAAAGCCCTGGAGGCAAGTTTGATAGCTGACAAAAATAAGGGAAGCATCCCCAATGACAAAGAGAAGTGGCAAAAGAAACAGCAGAATAAACATAAACATCACACAAACACGAGTATGCACTAAATGATACACTGCCACACAATAAAAATGAACAACTTGCAGAGTTATGGGGAGAAAAAGACAAGTTAATACTTGTAGGTATTCAACACCTATTTCAATATAAATGAAGACCAAATAAAAGACAGATAATCAGAAGTAGGAAGATAGATCTTTTTCAAAGGGGAAGAGGACCAAGAGATGGAGAGAAAGGGAAGAAGGGAAGAGGAAGGGGATGGAAAAGGAATTAAAATGGGTTATGTACATGCACCAATTCCACACAAGGACTGTAAACATTATGTAGTGCACACATGTACTAATAAAGAAAATGAACTAAAAAAGAAGAAGACATATTGTTTTTGGATAGCTCCTTCTAAAAGTGGCTCATCAATTAAATGTTACTGGGTTGCTCACCTCTCCCTCTGGAGTTGGATTCCAGATTCTTCTCATCTCAAACAAAGAACTGAACAAAACAAGCTAAAAGCAGTGCCCAAGTTTATTTGAAAAAGTAAAAATGGAGAGTGAGGGAGAAACTGGCTCTGCAGAGAGAGCTTGGGCTGAGTAAAAGGAGAAAAATCAATAAAAGGACACCCTGGAGAAACCAGGGTGGGCTAAAGAAAGCCATGCTAGCAAGCTCTTTTGGGCATCTGTGTCCTTTTACACTGTGTCCAAATCTCAAGGAAACCCGCAAGAACTTGTACATCTGGGTCCCGAGAGGCGGTGCTGGGATCCCAGGTCTCAGGCTGACATCAGGTCTAGGCCACCCTATCAAAAACCTTCTTGAGTTCTCACAAGAAATCCACCTACAAGGCTTTGGGAACTATTCTGTGCATGTGTCTGGGATCTTGTAATTAACAGGTCACATCTACTTCCCCAGGTAGCTTTGCCATGCCCTAATCTATCTCCGAATAATAAACAAGGAAAAAATTAAGCAAAGATAAAGATTAGAATAATAGGGCTGGGGATTTAGCTCAGTGGTTCTGCCACCTGCCTCTCAAGTGCAAGGTCCCAAGTTCGATTTCCGGTACCAAAAAAAAAGATTAGAATAATAACCCAATATAGGAAGCATAAATAGAATTGCTCACTCATAAGAAACTACTATATATATATAACTGGGGATTTAACCCAGGGCCTTTGCACTGAGCTACATCCCAAGATCTTTTTATTTTTTATTTTAAGACAGGGTCTCACTAAATTGCTAAATTCTCCCATCTGGGCTTGAATTTGCAGTCTTCCTCTGAGTGTTGGGATTACAGGCACGCACCACCAACGTCTGCCTGAAAACAACATGTGGTGAATTAACAAATGGTCAACTTGGAATGCCCAGCTGAACTGAATCAACATGGTCTGGGTGGGAAGACCCACCTGAGGACTGTTGCCCACGGCATAAAAAGAGAACTGGAGGGGAAGATCATTGTCTCTTGATTTTCTTGGAGAAGCTTGCTGTAGGTGGTTTTCTTGATGCAAACTTGGCTGTTCTGTCATCAAAGGAGGAGCTTGAGTCCTCACTGTTGCTGGGAATGGCTGCTGTTCTTGTCAGGGGAGCTCTAATCTTTGCCTTGAACATCACTTCCTAGCTCCAGGGTAGAACCTGGTGGCACAAATCCTTCACCCTGCAGGTGCAAGCTTTCTAGCTTCCACCACTGGCCTCGGGGCCTTCCCTGTGAAGATCCTCGATAAGGACAAGCATGAGACATTGCCTTGGGCTCTAGGCCACTGGCTGGACTCCTGGAGGACATTACCTTGGACTCCAGGCCTTCAGCTGGACTTGTGAGATCCAGACCCTCGGCTGGATTCTTTGGGTCTCTAGTGCATGATTAGATCTCTTGCACTCCTCTGCTTTTGAGCTTTTGGGTGTCTATTATAAAATAATCCTATAAATTATGTGCCCTGTTTTAAATCCATTTCCTTTGCAAACCCTGACTACAACACAACATATTTTTCTAAGTATATGTTCACAAAAATTGACCTGAACTAGACTACAAAGAAAATCTCAGTGAGAGCTCAAGAACTGATATGCACATTTTCCCTGGCTATAATGTAATAAATTAAAAACGAACTCAAAAAGTTAGCTTTAGAAGTTCCATATAACTGTAAACTAAAACACGTGTCTAAATAACTTTTAAAGAGAACATCATAAGGAAAATACTTAATATTTATATGTAAATGAAAATGAAAGTACTTTGTATCTAAAGTTACAGAGAAGAATTAATTTAAATATATTAAAAGGAAAACTAGAAAGAATTTTACTAAATGAGCTGGGTGTTTAACAGAACAATAGAGTAAGCCTAAAGACAATGAATCAATAATTGAGATGTCCTCCATTCCCCAGATTTTCTGGCCCTGATAACTTCATAGGTATTTTCACCAGAGTCACAAGGACTTGACCCTTCTATTGTAGAAAAAAAAAAAAGAAAATGATCTAAATCACTTTGTGAAACTGCTATAAATGTGATTCTAAAGTCACACAGAAAATAAAAGTATAGGCTCACTTTACTTATAAACCAACACAGGAAAATCTTAAATAAAATATTAATAAAACAAATACAAGAGGGCAAAAACCAGGATTTATCAAGTAATATAGGACAATGTGACACCAGAAAATTAATATAAAAGGAAAACAGTCATCACTGTAGATACTGGAAAAGCATTTGGTTTTTCAAATGATAGTTCAAAAGCTATCCTGGGGCTGGGGATTTAGCTCAGTGGTTTTGCTGCCTGCTACACAAGCACAAGGACCTGAGTTCAATCCCCATACCAAAAAAAAAAAAAGCTATTTATATTTTTATTTTATTTTTTCTTGTTTTTTGGGGGTTTTTTTTGGTTGTACTGGCAAAACCACTGAGCTAAATCCCTGGCCCCTGGATTTTGGTTTTTTGGGACAAGGTCTTGCTATGGAGTTCAGGCTGGCCTTGAACTCACTGTGTAGCCCCGAATGCCAATCTTTTTTTTTTTTGGTACCGGGGATTGAACTTGGGACCTTGCACTTAGAAGGCAGCGGTGGAACCACTGAGCTAAATCCCTGGCCCCCTTGTGGCAGTCTTCTTGTTTCAGCCTCCCAAGTGCTGGGATAACAGGCAGGCGCCACCGCTCCCAGCTATGTTTTTAAAAAGAATCTACTAGTGGGTTGGAGGACACAAGATTATCTTTTATTCTATCCTCTCCTTTTCCCTGCATATCCAGTTTGTCAATTTAGAGTATACTGTCATTTTAAAAAGCTCTTGGAAACTATCCCTCCATTCCCATTCATTCTCTTGTATCATTGTTGCATTCTCCTGCCTGGTTTCCTTTCTCCTAATCATTTTTTTTGCTGGTATGTAATTTTATCTTTCCAAAGCACATGACTATGCTTATCTCCCACCAATACCTAATTCAGGAAATAATGCCTGCAGTGTTTTTTCTTACTGAGTTAACACCCACTAGTGTGGATCATGAAATTAATTTAGAGGATTAAATTAGTATTTGAAAAAAAATAGTTTCCAAAAAGAAAAAGAAACTATCAGAAAGTTTAAAATAAAATATCCTTCCTTTGACACCTACCAAAAACCTTCTGAAAGATATTAAATGTAGATGAGAAAGTTCAGACTCATTTGCTTAAAGACGGAAAAAAAAAGACCAGGATGCCTACTTTCAAAACTACATTTAATCAGAGTATTGAAGATCTTTGCCATCGTTCAAGCTGAGAAAGGGCCAGGGATTTGGCTCAGTGGTTCTGCCTCCTGCCTCTCAAGCACAAGGTGCCGAGTTCGATCCCTGTTACAAACAAAACAAAACAAGGCAAGAAAAATAAGTTAGAGGTATAAGGATTATTAGAGAAAAGTTTATAAATCAGAGTTCATCAAAGTTGCTGTATAAATGATCATTTACAAAATGAATAGTGTTTGTGTTAGTCAGAAGTCTCCAGAGAAACAGAATCAATGGAGTCAATACAAGGAATAATAAGGCACTTATCAAAAGGTATTAGGGCTGGGGATTTAGCTCAGTGATTCTGGCACCTGTCCTTGCAAGCACAAGGTCCTGAGTTCAATCCCTAGTACAAAAAAAAAAGGTATTGGCTCTTGTGGTTACGGAGGCTGTCAAGTCCAAACTTGCAGAGCCAATGTCCTGGTTTGTGTCCAAAGGCCAGGAGCTACTGTAGGAAGAGCTGATGCCCAGTTTGAAGGCCATCAGGTTGAATTCTCTCTTCCTTGAGGAGAGTCAACCGTTTGTATTAGTCATGCTTTCATCTGATTGGATGAAGCCCATCTATATATACTATGGAGGGCAATCTACTTGACTCAGTCTACCATTTAGGTGTCATTCTCACCAAAAAATACCCTCAAAAGACCCAGAATAATATATGTACAAATATATGAGTACCTTTTGGCCTAGTTGACACATAAAACTAATCAACATGATGTTCTTCCTCACTAACGTTGGTGACGGTTGCCTGAAACTCTAACTTCGAAATCTTGGGTAATAAGTATTACCCATGTTTGCAGTATTCACTAGGTTTGTGGGGGGTGGCTTATGCTCCCAGAGATAAGTAATATAACTGATAGTACAGTAGCGTTCCTTGTCTGTGGCTTCAGTTATCTGAGTCAGCCATGGTTCAAAAATACTGAATGGGAAATTCCAGAAACAAATAATGCACAGCTTTTAAATAACCTTTTAATGTTTACCATTACATATTGTTCTAATTGTTTTAGTTTAGTATTAGTTATCATTACAAACTTGTGGTGATCCTTCTGCCTCAGCCTCCTGATTGCTGAGATTACAGGCATGTGCTACCCATATCTGGCCCAATAATTTATTCCTTCTTCTCCCTGAGTAGTATACCATTGTAAGTATATACACCATTGTAAGTATATACCATAATTTGTTTCTCCACCTACTAATAGACCATTGTTTCCAGTTTTGAACTAATATAAATAAAACCATTATGATCATTCTTATATGAGGATTTATGTGGATTTACAGTATCACTTTTCTTGGATTAATACTTAAGAATGGAATGGCTATGTCATATGGCAGGTTTATGTTTAACTTTTTCTTTTCTTTTTTTGTGGGGCTGAGAATTAATTCTAGGGCCTTGTGCATACTGGGCAAGCTCTCTGCCATCATGCTACATCTTTACAAACTAAATTGGTCGTCCCATTTTATCTTGCCCCCAGCAGCACAGTAGAGTTTAGTTACTGTATTACCTTATCAACATCTAGAGTGATTGGTCTTTCTTTCTTTATTTATTAGAGGGGATTTTGCTATGTTGCCCAGGCTAGTCTTGAATGCCTGTGCTCAAGGGATCCTCTTGCCTTGGCCTCCGAAGTGCTGGTTATACAGATGTGTGTCACCACACCTGGCTTAGTCTTTTAAATTTCAGCTATTCTACTAAGTATGTCATGATATATCATTGTGGTGCACCTTGTACTTTCCTAATGATTAATGATCCCAGACATCTTTTATGTACTTATCTGCCATTTGCATGTCATTTTTGTAGAAATATCTGTTCAAATATTTTAATATTTTGCACTTAAAAAAAAAATTCTTTTAGGGCCGGGGATTTAGCTCAGTGGTTCCGTCACTTGCCTTGCCAGTGCAAGGACCTGAGTTCGATCCCTGGTACCAAAAAAACACACAAAAAACAAAAAAACAAAAAAATTCTTTTATTGGTACATTTTAGGTATACAATACGTTTACATTTATCACTGGGTGCTTGTACCTGTACATGATGTATCTCGGTTCTTATTTTTTTCCCCTTTACCTGTGCGCCCTTCACCCCTCC